AGGAGGAGGAGGAGGAGGAGGGGGGGGCTGGTACCTTGGGGCTACAGAATCAATGGTGCATGCCTACAACAAAATGCTGCAATTTAGGGATTGGAACCAAATTGAAGACTGTTAAACCAGAAAAATTACAATGAGGTGACTGTCCAGAGTGTTTGCCTTTATTTCTGGGATAATATTCATAATCTTCTACAATTTTCCTATTTTGACTTCTACAAAAGGGGGATGGCTAGCCACCCAATCCAATACACCCCTAAATCCACCCTGATTATATGTACAATCCATTTCTCTTCTTCCCATTCAATTATATTCCAAAAACTTAGGCATCATTTTTTGAGTCCTATTATACAAATTTAAACCATTCTTGTAGGATGGTCTTTGTGGGAACTTGCTATGCTTTTAAGCAGTCAAAATCACCCTGCAAATTTGAAGGAAGTGAATTTACCTGTCCTGAATACAAATGACAGAAGCCTCTGATAACCTTTGATTTGTACAGAGTGCTTGCAGCTGTCTCCATTCTTCGTATCACCTGCATTGTTCTGTAATAACTAAGGCCATCTTCTCTGGTCAGAATGGCTTTCTTGGGTGGTCCACTGTCTAGTCGGTGAATTGGACAATCCTAAAGAGATAAAGCATTGGAATTAACAAGTAGTTCACCCATAGGACAAAGTGGTATGGGACAGTGGGCTTAAAAAAAATTTATATGTTCAGTGATTCAATCCACTCTATAAGCAGGTGTGCTAAAAATTAGTTTCCTGTCAGGGTCGTAACCAAAACAAAAATGACTGAATCTGAGGCAGTGTCAATCTTCCTAAGCATAAAGAGTNTCTCCATTCTTCGTATCACCTGCATTGTTCTGTAATAACTAAGGCCATCTTCTCTGGTCAGAATGGCTTTTTTGGGTGGTCCGCTGTCTAGTCGGTGAATTGGACAATCCTAAAGAGATAAAGCATTGGAATTAGCAAGTAGTTCACCCATAGGACAAAGTGGTATGGGACAGTGGGCTTAAAAAAAATTTATATCTTCAGTGATTCAATCCACTCTATAAGCAGGTGTGCTAAAAATTAGTTTCCTGTCATGACTGAATCTGAGGCAGTGTCAATCTTCCTAAGCATAAAGAGTGGTCATGATGACTATAAATATTAATAAAAATGGAAAATTAAATATTTTTAACTGAAACAAGTGCCTTGGTTTGCCTGTTACTAGCCATGACCTTGCCTGTCTCTGTACCAGACTAGTATTTAATTAATGTTAGCTGGGGCACTGTTCCAGGTTAGACATCTTAAGCAAAACATAAAGCTTCTGTATAGTCTTCAAACTCAACCAAATGATTGATTAACTGCTCAGTTGACTGATTGATAGGTTAGTTAACTTTTAGAGTTCTGGTCAGTGTAAAACGCAGACTACGGACTGCAGACAGCAGACCTGTGGTAAGATACAGACTGAGATTAAAATGAAGACTGCAGACTGTAGACTTTTTAACTGAATTTGTTACCATTTCCATCACTAATAAGAGCTTACTGTAAACAGGCTAACCTGAGCATTATCTAGGCTAACCTGAGTAATATTCAGGCTAACCAGAGAGCAGACTTTCACTGCGATTAGCCTGAATAACCCTGTTTACGGTTTGCACCCGGTTTACGGATTTTAACACGATATATACTTGAAAAGACTGTAGTTTGCAGTCTTCATTTTACCCACCCCTGGTCAGCAGCCTGCAGTCTGCATTTTACACTGACCATTTGGAGTTATATTTAACTCATCAAATTACATACTTCCATCCCTGTTAATAAAACATAATAAGAATCCAAGTCTTTAGATTTTATTCTTTTGTTTTGGAATTTCAAGTAAGTACATGTATTTTCCACAATTAATCATTTGATTTGAGACTGAACAAATGGTCCAAATTCGAAATCAACGATAGTATCTATATGTAAGCTTATAGGAAAGAGTCTCTCGATCCATTTTCAATTTTATTTACATTTTGTAAACATAAGTCTGGATTAATGATTGAAGAGTCTTGTATTGGATATTGGCTTGGAAACTGAGGAAAACTTAGTGAAACATTCAGTGTATTTTCATTTGATTGTTGCTGTCTACTGACACACAGTCCAAGGAAAGCTCGATTATTAAGATAATGTCTGTCTGAACAAAATGTCTAGAAAATAATGAGATGTACAGGCTTCAAATTGACCAACAGTGACAACATACATTCTTGTTGTGAAGTAGGCCCTGTTTGCACTAAGACGAAAATTTGAGTTTAGCATTTGCAGAAAAAAACTGAAAATTTTGTAATCACCAATTTTTTGTTTTCGTAATCCTGTTCGCACATGAAGATGCAAAATTTTTTAAGTGACAGATGTCAATTAGTAACTTGATCAATTTACCATCAAGATGTTGTGACATGTCTTAAAGGGGAAGGTTTCATACTTGGCGTTTTTCTCGTTCCCTTTTTTCGTGTTTTCTGTGCTTCCAATAGCTGCAACAGTCGTCTGATCTTCAGTGGATGTTATGGATGTGGATGCTGTGTTCAGCGGATGTGGATGCATTGTGAACCTGCTCGAGTTTGCTGCGATGGAAACTGTATGAAGTACTGCTGTTGTGTAGCGATTTGGGAATCGTAATAACTTTGATTACCCTGATCTTGATCTTGGTAGCATTGCGAGCCATAATAATTGAAGTACCATGGATCGATGTTCCTTCTGTGCGGATCCATCTAGCTCAATTAAAATGGCGGAAGTCATATGGTCACGTTTGCTNTTTTTCAGGCTTCTTCTTTCCAATTGCTTAAATTGGAAAATTCACTGCGATGATCATTCTTCACTTTCATACATTCTTGTACAATATTCATTTAGCTACTTACTGCTAATTCGAACTCTGCTTCATTCACTTGTCCTGCAAATCCTCTGTTGCTAACAAGCCATCCTACAAACTGGAATCCATATATTTTCAGTGCCAGTAAGAATTCAATTTAGCTGAAGTAATTAAGTCTGGTGTGAACAAAAAACTCGACAAAATTTTTATCGGATTTTTAGTTAATTTCCACATTTCAGGTTTGCACTTAAGCAATTAGCACAAGGTCAATCCTTACCTACGCCGAGAAAGAGGATCAACGCGAGGAACTGAGTATAATTAATGCATTCCTGACTTTTTATTTGGAGTCAGGCTGCAAAGCTAGCTAAAGCTGAAGTCCCGACTTATTCCAAGATGGCTTCGGTGGCTGACTTATAAAGAGCTATCTCTAAAATAACCAAAAACAAATGCTTACCGGTTTCTTTAGCGAGGACGTTGCTCGTAATGATACTAATCCTTTCCTTAGCATGATATTTCGAGGTTTCTCGGCTGAAATACAACCAAAATATAAAGATAATCGTGTCCAAACGAGACTTTCGAACAAAAGCACTGGACAAACTCTGTCCCAGATTTCCTTCGAGTAATCTTTGCGCACAGGGAAGGGTGGGAGTGTCAGGGGTGATGAAGAGGTATATGTTCTCTCGGAGACTCAGGGGCAGAGTCAGGAGGAATTTAAACATGTTCAGAAGAAAGTGGAGTGAACGATGGATCTGGGTCTCCGAGGTTGCTGTAGCTGCAGAATTAGAAAAGAGCAAATACTACACCGTGCCGTAGCCGTGACACCCACCCCTCTCCCCATTACCGGTGAGGATGTATTCACAAGTCTACATGAAAAAGAAAAAGTCGAATTTAAAAAAAAGACCATTTGGTAAACAATTCTCAACAAATTATTTTAACTTAAGATTTTTGATTTATGAACTTCACTATCAAACCCGGGGGACGAGGGGAGAACGGTCATTCCCAGGGCGGAAAAAGGCAATAACGCCTGGGTCATTCCCTAGAACGCCCGGATCTGGTGAATAAATTATGCAAGTATTGTATAAATTATTTGGGTTAAATTACGTAAAGCAAGCTGATGGTTGGGTGGTTATTTTAAAAGTTCTTCACTTCCTCTCTTCAATTTGAACGCATCGTTGCCAGTGATATGTAAATTTGTGGAAACGCAAGGTTTTATTGTCTGCATAGCTCGAGAAAATATTTAAAGCATTGTCCATTTGCCAGTTCGATGCATCAAAGATCACGACCAGCGCACACCTTTCATTCAACTCGTTCAACTACAATCGGGACAAGTTCGTGGTGTGTAGGGTAGAGTAAGCTCATTATGTCCGAAGATATTTATATTGATGTCAACTATCTTACGGAATCAGAAAGAGATATCATCCTTCAAGTGCTTGCCAAAGACGAGGAACTACGGAAGCAAGAAAAACGTCGAATAAGGTGTGTAAATTAACTTTGTTTAGAGCAATGTTGGGGTTGCCTTTACCGTAACGCACGTATCCACATTTTTCACGTAAGCGTGATATTGCGTCGCGATTTCGTACCCTGTTCTTGTTGTTGATATGAAACCGTTATTTTCTTTTAGCACGCTGAAGAATGAACTAGACCAAATAAAGAAGAACGGAGCGAGTCAAGAGGAAATTGAAACATCTCGCATTTGTGCTAGATGTCGATCTCCGCTCGGTTTTATAATCAACTGTGGTGCTTTGTGTCCGAAATGCGAGGCAAGGGTATGCAAAGATTGCCGAGAAATGACCAGTTATTCCTGGCTTTGTATTCTGTGTGCGAAAATCAGGTGAAATATTTAATTATTTATCATTATCCCTAGTGAGTGAAATACGCTCTAACTATTTCATTTAGGTTTTGAAAGAAAGCGCTACAGAAGCTAAGCTTGCGTAGAAAATGAAAGATATTGGTCTAAGAATTTTCAGTTTAATTGTGTTAAACAAAAGTATATTTTCTTTTAACAGGGCAACAATTCTAATATCTACAATGATTGTTCAGTTATAATGATCAGCCAGCTGAACGGGGTATAACATATGCAGAACTCTTATTTCAACTCCGCGGGCGATTCTCTTTTTATTTACTCCTTTCCTTTGTTATGCTAGGACGAGATTTTCTACGGCCTGTGTCTAGAAGAACCATAGAAATGATAGCAGTTATAGTTGGCCTAAGGCTATTGTAACTACTCATGATAACATTTAACAAAACCAACCAAAGATAACCTGTCCGGCGGAAAGATATCTTGGTCGATAAATTCCTTAATTTATTCACAAAGGTCTTCATATAACAGTGTTTTGATTGGATATTTGTTATTGTTTGAGATGTTTCTCGTATAAACTAGAGATAATATTTTTATTGTTCCCCTACAAACTGTACTGTGGCTACATAAGCTTATTATTTTAGATAATCCTTTAAGAGTGCAAAATTATACTTGAGACTGATGCAATTGTCGACAATTGGATCAACTTGAACTCATGTTTTCGGTCTCCACAGTGACCCTAGTGCTTCTTTAAAATCTGTTTGCCAACATCATTCCCAATATGTCCACAAATCCAATAACTGCACATGTATTTGCAAAACATTTTGGACTTCGGACAAAAAAATGTCTGCAAATAAAACCTTCTGAAATTTTAAGTCTCCAAGATATGTACATTACAATATAATTTAACTTTTTTTCTCAGCAAAGTGTCAAAATTTGGCTAGAAATTTGTCTGAAATGAGATGAAAAATGTCTTAAATTTTCACATGATTAAACGTCCAAAATATAACATTCTAACTTTTCATATCTGAATTATTTTGCATGTAATGTAGAAGTTCAGTTTGTTTTTTTGTATAAAAAAGTGGTATAAATTTAATTAGATTAGGCAAAGAGTTCTCTTGGAAGTCATAAGAGCATGTTGAATGGGGATCCTTCTGTAAACTGATGTGAATTAGCATGGCATACATACAGTTAAATGTGTTTTTAAGCAACTTGCTAAAGTATAACTATGTGTTAAAGTTAGACACAGTTCAGGAATTTAACAAAAGCTTGTAACTGTAATAGTATTTAAGACTTTCTTTCTTTTTGGGAAAATCTTACTTTTAAATTTATTCTCTTTACATATTAAGCCAGTTCTGTATAAACACTGGTCATCCTTGTGTGGGTTTTCTATGTCTCACTAGTACGACTGAAACTGTTTCATTTCAGGGAAGTCAGGGCTGAATCAGGTGCTTGGTTTTTTGAGCAAGAGAGGAGAAAAGCTGATAGGCCACAGCTTTATGGCTCAGCTTTAGTGCGTGCTTCCTTCAGGAGAGCAAAGCCTAGTGCATCTCAGGCGAGAAATGGTTAGTATCATGGAAATTGCATTTATTGTAATTGAGCCTATACATCTACAGCTGTACATGGGTTACAGAGTCGCAGTGCAGCTAGTGCTCATCTCCCTCTTGGTAGTTATAGGCTTGATGCTGGTTCTTGCCTTGATCTGACACTGGTTTCTCCCCAGGTTCTCTAGGTTTCATCCCTCGTGAGAAGTGACATTCACATTTACTTTGATTTGCATTACAGGACTTTCCTCCCATTTTTCTCTCCTTTTGTCCTCACATCCTTGCATCCGTGTCCTCGCATCCTCGCATCCTTGTGTCCACCCTCTCACATGCTCACATCCTGGCATCCTTGTGTCCACCCCCTCACATGCTCACATCCTGGCATTGTTCTCATGTCGTCCACATCCCCTCATATCCTCCTTGTGTCCTTGCATCGCCATCACTTCCTCTTGTCCTTGTGTGTTTCCATCCTTCTATCCTTGTGTCTTTCAGTCCCTGTGTCCCTCTGTCTCTCCTCTCCCTTCTCACCTCTGCCCCTCTGTCCTCCACCCCTCCATCCCTTCACCCCTCTGTCCATCCATCCCTCCATCCCCCTGCCACTCCTTCCCTTCATCCTTCTGTCCTTTTGTCCCACAGTCCTTCCCTCCCTTCTTCCATCCTTCCTTCCTTTGCTCAATTTTTTTTAACTAATCAATTTTTATTTCACATGTGCAACTTTTTGTTTTTTTGCAACTAATTGTGATATGTACATGCACATTTTCACATTGGCTCTGACATTTCTTGCCAGGAGTCAAAGATGGTGATCCAGGTTCACCCCCAGTGATCACACTCAATCTTAGCAATCATGGAAGACTTCACAGACCAGTGCCAGTTCACATGTCACGTCTGGCTGAGAAAGATGTGGAAGAAGAAGACAAAGGGGAAGAAGGACAGAATGCTGTAGAGATAAATCAGAACTACAAGCAGTATGTTAAAGCAACCAGAGTTCCACAGAAACCAGAGGAAGAGCAACATGATCCAGATGAGGAAGAGAAGAGTTCATCCTCATCAGCTACTTCTACCCCTAGAGGTGAGAATTGTATTTTACAAAAGGATGTGAGTACCTAGTGGACACTACTCTGATTCTGGTGTACTGCAGTTGTTCTCATGCTCTGTGCTCACTTCACTTACTTTTTTCTTGGGAAAAAAAATGAAATGGCTGTGGACAGACTAACTTGTGCTTCATTCATTTGGCTGATTGTGTTAAACAGTTGAATCACTCCCCCCCCCCCCTCCTAAAATTTTATTCCAACTAAATATTTTTCCTTACAGTTGCCTTGGTAAGGAAAGCTTTGTTTCTATTTTGCATTGTTCAACTGCAGTGACTCAAAGTGCACATGTAACTCAGTGTAAGGGGTATTGAGATGTTGATCACAGTAGTCCTAAGAGTGAACCAGTATCTAAGAGAACTTAATAGAGAAGATTTGCGCCATGGTTTTAGTTTAGCATCATATACTGTCATGACTTTGTTTTATTTTTATTGGGGTCCACCACTCATCCATTGCACCAGACTATACAAGCTATGTACATCTTTCTACACTGAGACCAGCTCTGTGCAGACTGTGTAACTTCAGTAACTTCAGTTAAAAGATCAATATTTGGGAAACAAGTGAAGTAGAAGTGAAACAGATGGAAGCATGCAATCAAACAGAATAATAGTGTTAATCAAGGACCATTGAGTCGTCATGGAAGAGTTACTGGAAATCAAGCCATGGCACTTTAGTTTGCACATCACCAGTTTCAGTTAAAAATCCTTCTCTGCTTTCTTCTGTTGAATTAGCTGCCTAAATGAACTGCCTCAAATTCAAGGATTTATGTCATTTTAATTTTTTTTAGTTTGCATTCATTTTATTTTTATTCCAGTTGCATTTTATAAGTTCATGATCAGTTCTTTTTTTAGCATTCAAAGCTGAGATGACTTGATATTACTTCACATTCTTGAATTTGAGTGGTATGCAAGTTTAGAACATTTAGGGACCAGAATTCTGAAAGCTACTGACATAGACTAATATCATTAAGTTATATTATTTAACAGTAGTTAATATTACTAATAATTATTGGATGAGGTTGAGCAAAGAAGTGTTTTTTTTTTTCAGTGGCGAGCAGATCAATCAATTATTATTTGGCTGAGACAATACATGACTAATCACAATATTTTGCAATACCACAACCAATAAGTACTCTCTGACTGCTCAGGGAAGCAATCTGTCTTTTTTCACACAAGTACCCAGTGACACTTATGCATGAAAAGAATATTAGCTGCAGCAAAACACATAATTGACTGTGTTATGCATGAGCAGACCACTACTTGTAGAGAGTTATTTGCAGGTCACGTGGTAGGTGGGTTCTTGTCCAATGAGAAAGGAAGGAAAAATGCGTCTAATGATAATGTTAAATTATTGTAATAATTGGTATATTAATTTACTATTAAATATTATTTTGAATAACCTGAGTTTTTAAACAGAGGCCTACAAGTTTCAGCCTGGCAGGATAGGTGAAAATAACACATTTGCATTGTCTAATGATAAATGATGTTATGTAGGCTCACCTGTGAATGTTCTGGACAGTGATGTCTTTGAAGTCGCTAATCAGGAAGAGACAGTATTTGAGCACTTGAAAAACCAAGATCTTCACAAGATTGAAGTAGAGGAGGAGGCAGAAGAAGGAACAACAGAACAAAACGTGCCAGACTGGAAGGCAAATGTGACAAATGGAGATGCCATTGCTAATGGATACAGCATGGAGGAAGCTCAAGGTTACGAAGAAAAGGTGAAAGATTGGAGGAATGACAGAGAGGAGGAGAGTTCACATATTGACCAACAGCCGAAAGATCATCCAGTAGTCGAGGTCAAGACAAAGTGGCATGAGGTAGCAGATGAATGGGGTGGGACAGGAGACAGCTATGACCAACCAGCACCAGACAGTTACCTTCACAAGCAGTTCCTAAGTGTGAGATCAGTGTCACCAGATTCAGAGACAACTGGCGATTTTTTTACTCCCCTTACTACCCCCCTGCACTCTGGAACAGGGACTCCTGCCCTGTCAGATTATGGACAAAGTGATGGGATGGGATCAAGTTCTGATGTGTATGAGGATGCCGGGGATGCCACACCCGTCGAAGGAGACAGAACTCCTGTTTCAGAGCCAGAGAAGGATGGTAAGGAATTCCAATAAATCACTACACAGAGTAATTATAAACAAAAACAATCTTCTTGATACAAGCTTTCTGTTAGAGCTACTTAAATGTTGTTCTGGCCTGTTTCATTTTTTTTTCTGCAAGGTATGGTTTATTCCAGGAGGAAGTTAATTACCTGTCAGTGAGTTAAGTCAAGATATCTGTCAGATGCAGGGGTTTCATTTCAATGTTTTCAGCAGGAGGGTAATTGGCTTTTACAGATGGGCAAAACTTTTAAAACTGAACTTCTTTATAAGAAAACTTTCCGCTAGATGGTCAAACCAGGTGGGCAAAATCATCCTCACAGCCAGTCAGTTTCCCCGTTGCCTGGCCCCTAATGAAAGCCTTGAGATTTTGGCTTCCAAGTGTTTATGGCTCAACGATGTAATTTGATAAAATATGAAGGAATATAGTGTGTTCTACCTAGCATTTTAGTGTAAATGATTCTCTGTAATTGATTGACTCAGAATTGTTATGTTTTTACTCAGAGAGCATTGCAGTATTAGGTTCTGTGTATTATTCAGTTAGAAAATATGTTTTTAAAATCACCTACTACTTCTTTGCACCAATTTTTGCGGAAGGCCACATACATATATATACACGTGGAGTCGTGTACATACAGTACTGTTTAACTCAGTGTTCAATGAAATGTTCTTGCAGGCAGATTTACCACAACCAGTGTGCAATGAACAGTTGACTCATATTCTGACTGATCTGAGTTCCACACTTTACTTCCAGTTAATGTGGCAATATGAAGTAGAGTGCAATCCAATTGCTGTTTGCTCAAGTTGATTTGAGTCAAAAGCTCAAAGTATCAGTTCCCCTTTATGACATACCATACATTTCTAATGTTACCTTCAAGAATTTGGCAGTAGAGACAGAATCTCACGGTTAATAACTATTTTATTTCATCACATTCGTCACCTGTGTCAGACAATATGTCCTTATTAGTGAGGAAATATGAGATGTTGTCAGTCTAACTTAGGAAGTTAGTAAAAGAAGTTGACTATCAAATAAGTTGACTACTGTTGTACAGCTGGTTGTTTAAGCATTTTTAGTTTTGAGATCAACATCCATATTCCCCTTACAGCAAGAGTGCTGCAGCCATAACAGTGACTTCCCTTCTTTTTTTACACATCATTAATGTCATATTGAATGATATGATTATATGATCAATGACTAACTTTGAAATTTTTGCTAGACATGATCACGTGCTGCTGAGGTAATAGAGCGTTTTACAATCGAGTGTCATAAAACCAATACCAACGTAATTACGAACCAATTAGAGTACTTAGCAAATCTTTAAACCGTAGTAAAACCAAAACCAATGTAATCACCTGATTACTTTCGACACTCAATTGAAAACCGCTCCATATGCAATTCAAAAAAAAATTGTTATAGATGTAATCATTTGTTTCTGCTTGTTATTACTATCAGATGTGGATAACATTGGAGATGTGACTGTTACTAACCCTGAGATCAAGTGCACGAGTCCTGATATTGCTGAACCAGAAGAAGGACACACGACTCCAACACGTGATGATGATATTGACAAGGCTTTTGCCATGTATGAAAAAGATCACCCAGGCCCAAAATCACTTCAAGAACAACTTAATATCCTCAGCATGGTAAATGTCTTAGTTTGTAATGGAGTTTTTCACTCACTTCTGGCCGTCAAATTTTGAACTTTAATAAGTATTTCAAGTCCAACTTTTAGGTTTAGATCTTTCTCTGTCTTAAAAGTTCCAAGCGCTCTGAGGAAAACAAAAAACATATGTGATCTACTGCAGCCTAAAAGTGGGGAAACTTACTAGCGTTACATACAATCTGAAATTTTGGGGATCTCCTTGAATTGTGTGATGCAGCGTGAAAATATCGCATGTGATGGCGTGACGCGCACGTTACTTTTAATAATTTATTGGTTTTTCAGGTTAAAGGAATTACGTCACGGTTTGCGCATCTTGAAAAGCTTAGCCTAAATTTTTTAAGTTCGTAGTTTGTAATCCGTGTTAATCTTCTCCATCCTTAACCATCCATGTTCCTTTATGGTTTATTATTAATAATTCTTTTATTAGTGTTTTTCTATCTCAGCAAACTACTATTTTCAGGATTCCTTCAATTTAAAGGTAATTTTGTACGTGGCCAAAACAACTCAAAACACTGTGACTGAGCTAGTTGGGACAGGGCTGCCATGTCTTTGGCATAACAAGATCAACTACATGTATAATATATATTCTTTAACTGTATTATTTTTCAGGGTAGTCGTGAGAGTATTGTGAGTTATTACAGTGATGCCGGTGAAGGTCGGTTTGGCAATGTAGCTGTCACGGGTGAAGTGCTTTTTGGATTGAAGTACAACAAGCACAAACACCAACTGGAAGTACAGATTCACCGAGCTAAAGACATCGCAGCCGCAGACGAGAAGAAAGGACGATCAGACCCGTAAGTACAGTACTGTATGATGTTGACACCGTTACTCAAACCAGGACCAACATGACACTTGACGGTAAAAAGACCATTTTGGCTGCCTTGAATACAATTTTTTTGATAAAAGACTATTGTTTTTCCCGCTCAAGCTGAAAGTTCTTTTTTTTGTCGATTTTAGGCTGAAAAATAAATATTCTTGTGAAGCTTCTTAAATCATAGTGTATGACATTTCCATTTTAGAATGTATCAACTACTCGTGTTTGGTGTCTAGATGGAGTTGAATTAATTTTGGAGTCAGACCGGAGGCCATAAAGCCCGATTTGACACACACAACTTCTTGCAGAAATGTTTTTAGCATTGAACAAACGGCTAGTGCTGGTTCTGTTGTTGTTCGGCTAGTTTTGCCGTTTAGAGAGGGAAGAAAATTTTATACGGTTTAGTTAAAAACATGGAATTGTATTGTATTTACAAATTTTCAACACAAAATTACATTCTTTTCGAAATCTCAACCTCGGGTTTATTCGTAAAATATTCTTGAATTTTCGCAAATTTCAGCATTGATGTTCTTATAAAATAAATTCCAATAAAAAAATAGTATATAAAGCAAATAAATACTTGCAGGAATGCTCATATAAAGAAGAAGAATACCTCTCGAATTTTAGTGGAACTTTATTTCATTCTTGTTTTTTTACGATCTTTGACTTGAACTTGATAGCTCTCAACTTAGTAGTAACGATTGTCTCCTCTGTCGATAGGTATGTCAAAGTGTACCTTTTGCCGGATAAGACGAAAGGAGGAAAGCGCAAGACGAAGACAAAGAAGAATACTTTGAATCCAGATTTTGACGAAATTCTGACGGTAAGGAGTGTGATGTTTTAAGAACGCGTTTGTGGTCAGAGCGGAAATGACTTGCGAGCAGGAAGTGGTACATGGCGAGTCATGCGAAATCCAAAAGCGATTTCATTGTTATGTGGGAGGTTGGGGCAGCGTGGCCGAGTGGCCAGGCCGCCGGACTGGAAATCCGGAGGTCGCGGATTCAAGTCCCGCTCTGACCACTAAGCTGGAGTTGTCTGCGTTCGCAGGCTACTTGTCAGATATCTAGCTAATTTAGCTAAGCGGAGGAAGTTCCTTTGTTACAACGGGGGTTTTTAGACTCGTTTTGTTTTGTGTTATATATCATTTGTCGTCGTAATATCGTGAGTTTTGTTGTATCTGGGTTGCACTGGACGTGTTTTGAGCTAAAACTTGTTGCTTTGTTGTCAGTTTAAAATAGGGTTTGAAGAGATGTTGACGCGCACACTTTGGCTGGCCATGTGGAATCACGACACGTTTGGACACAATGATTTCTTGGGAGAAGTGATGTTGCCTTTAGAGACTTACCAGGAGTCGGGCTTCAGCTGGGATGATCCCTCACCAAACTGGTATCCACTTCATGAGAGGGTAATTCACTCTATGCACCTATGTTATCAGCGATCTCGTTGTTTCTTTAGCAAGATTTCATTCTTATGTTCAGGGCTTTTTAGTCCACTTGCAAAGTTTTGCTAGTAAGATTTTTTTCCACTAGCAAACTGGTGAGACCACTAACAAATTCTTTCCAAATGTTTAGGAGACATGGATGATTCTAGTTCGCAAACGTTTGCTAGTGGATATTTTTCTCACTCGCAGGTTATCAAAATCACTCACATTTTGCGGGTTTGCGAGCGTTAATTTCGAGCACTGATGTTATCAGCGATTCCATACTTGTTGATTCAGTGTGAACGCGATACCGTCGTTGCTATAGCAAGCCTTCATGCTTATGTTCGCTTAGTAAACGTGAAGCACTTTTTTTCTACATGTATGTTACCATAGCGGCCAGAGCCGTCCCTTATGTCGTACTGCGGAGATTTGACGGTGTCATTGATGTATGAGCCGGGCGAGGAGTCCAGCAAAGACAAGAAGAAGAAAAAGAAATCAGGCGGAAAGTTACATATCCAGTTGAAAGAAGCAAGGAACTTACCAGCTAAGGACTCCAATGGCTTCTCAGACCCCTTCTGCAAAAGGTACGGTATATTTGTTTCAGTGGTTAACGTAAGCCATTTACACAGGTGATTATTTTTGCAATGTATTGTTTGTCACGATTTTATTCTCGCGCTTGGGTAAACCCCAGCTGGTGGACACACCTTCCCACCTTCTCCGTAATGTTCAATTCCCATTGACTTGTATAACCCATCACCCCATGGCCTATGTACTTGACTTATATTTATATTGTTAGGAGACAACAGAATTTGATCTCTGTTACTTTGACGGGCTGTTTAACCCATCTTTTAGCGAGTTCTGATCTTAAACTTGAATCCTTGGTTTGGTTCTCACGTGGTTTTACTGGTTTTTCAACGTTTCCTCTTCTACGAGATGTCGATGAAGGAGACATGACATGGCCGCGCGGAGACACGGAAATTTCTCTTCGAGCGTTGAAAAACATTGCACTAGTGAGCGCAACGAACGAATCAAATATTTTTCAAGACTAGAAGAGAAATTGTGCACCTCCGAGTGGCCATGTAGTGTTCTATTTGTTATATAAACACCAATGAAATACCAAACCATTTCACTTTCGCTGCGACAGGCACTGTTAATTGTGTAACCATAACAACGGTGATCTTTTCAGGTGTGAAGCATGTTATTTTCACGCGTGTAAAGATGTCATGTTTTCGTGCGCAAGCTCAGCTGGTATTTCACTGGTGTTTATATAATAAGAAGGCACCTCCCCTCTAGTGATCTGTATTCTTCTTCTCATCACATACACCCTTGACTTTGCATTATCACTGTTACGTGAAATTAGATTCTGATCATCGTTTACCGAAGTTTGGTTTGAGCCCAGCTTGGAAACCTTGGATTGGTTTGCCCATATTGAAGTTTTGTTTTTTGTGGTGGAACACTTGAAACTTGTGTCGCGGTACTGCGCATGCACGGTACGATTTTGATCGACACGAAATTTTACTGGAAGAATTTTAACATAGTGTGAACGCTGTCCTGACCATCCGGTTTTATTCCTTTTGATTTATGATTATTTCTTTGGCATTTTCTTCCTCGGTAGTCTATTGGTTCTTTTATGTTATCATTTTAAGATCGCCACCGAAAGTAATTTTGGGAGTGTATTTAATATACGTTGACAATTAGCTATTTTTTGAAGTACTTGAGGAAACTCCAGATGTTTTCATATTTGTTTTCAAAAAACCAAAAATCACTTTTATTATAGATTGACATTTTTGTGATGAGATTTACAGTAGTTTTATGTTTTGCCGCTCTGCACGTTTTGGTGTTTTTTTTTTTTTTTTGTCTTAGGCAGAAGGAAAATCGCTGTATCTGTAGTAGACATAATAATTTGTCGTTTAAGTGCCAGTTTCAAGTCAGCCAAATTCTAATCATTCACCTTGCATGTAGAAGTATAATTTTGCAATGTCTATTGTGTTTTTTTAGGAAAATGCAGGTGTTATGTGTTGCCGTGACTTTTTAGTCCTTTATACTGGATATTCCAATCGTACGGCTATATAGATAGCAATCAGCGGAAAGAGCGGTATAAATTCAAGGCGTATAGTGAGAGACTTTTCGTTGTTCTTTCAAATTCAAATTTAGTGTTTGACAAGGTAGATGACTGGATTCCGGTTTCGTGTTCTCAAAATTAAGGTACCAGCAGTTTTTATGATAAGTAAAATAGTTTGAAGAGTGGCAGCGTCATTTTAGAGCACTGTTCACGAAGCTTAAATCATAATAAGTCCAGGCAGTATTGATATTGGTATCATATAGTAACTCACGCAAGGAAAAAAATCAAGGCTTGGTTTTTTTTTTTTCATCAATATCGATATCTAAAAGTGTCTTACAGCCGCTTAACAACAAACATGGCTGATTTGAGGATATACTTCAGAGCTGGTTCAAAAGCTGGTCATTTGGATCACTTACAGTTTCAGCTGTCGCAACTAGCCTGCTGATGAGACGACTACGAAATCACTTTGTCTTTTTGTAAGAGATGTGGTCAGTAGCCAATTAAGTATTTGTCTTCAGTTTTGTGATATTATAAAGGAGACGGTTTTTCTCCATCTTGTGGTCCTCTGCTCTGTTGAGCAGTAGCTTGTGAACAGGTCCCCGGTAAGGACAAAACAAAAATAACATTCGCGAGCAGACGAGTGCGAAAAAAATTAGACGAGCGAAGCGAGCCGAGCGTGTATTCCTTCCCAGTCTGCTACCGGCTAACTCTGCCTGCCCGTTTTTCTTTGCTCTATAACTCAATCGGGAGCCTGGCTAACGAGCCGCCGCTGATTTTTTAAGGTGAAAATGTGCTCTGCTGTAACCGTTGACAACCACAGGCTCATTGGGTTATTAGTGTCGTGTTTCTGCGGGCACTTTTCACAAACAGAAGAAATTATCCGTCCTTGTTTTGTAAACAGTTACTATTGTTAATGAGATTCCTGTCATTTTCTCCAGTCGCTTTTTATCAGTGTCCGTCAAATTCTTTTCACCGCTTCATTTGCATTGCTTAAACAGTTCTTTATATGCGCCGTGATTTTGGCTAGAGAATCAGCTGAACAAAAATGACGAGGCTATATTTGGGTTAAATTCAATATTTCTTTGCGAAGAGGACCTAGCAGTTCTGTCGTTCTACGCGAGACGTTCTCTGGACTAGCTCGGGTGTTGGTTGTAAGTTTTTCTCTTTATTTCTTCTTCATCGTAAATGTTTATTTTAAAATAGCACTATTTTACAGCGTCTCCTGTTTTATTGGTGGCAGATGTTGTCATATTTTCGCATTTCATCTTCAACACTGTGGGCTTTTTGACACTTGGCTCGGTGTTTTCTTATTAGAGATTTCTTTGAAGTGTTCGCTACGTCTTCATGTTTTTTAAAATGATATCGAGATGTATTTGAGTAACGAGTTTTGTTATTCATCAGCTCGTTATTTCAATGGATCATTCTAACAGCGAACAAACCGTAAATCATTGTTTCCTCTGTTCCTGGTCTAGCCGGAAAAAATGTGTTTGTGTTTTACTTCCATAAAATGTAATTTGCTTAGAAATGGTGTCAGCAATGTTTGAACAAGAAGAGCTTTTTTGTATCTGTTTTGCTGGACCATCGTCACGCAAGGAATCGAAGAAAGCTTTATGAAACAGCTTAAATAGCGGCCTAGAAGTACACTGTCTTTTAGCACCGGTTATATTTTTGGTGGAAAGACAGTACATGAAAGCTAATTATGTCGAATTTTTTTCCTGCACTTGGTCGCATATTGGCGGAGTGTACTATCGCTTGTGAGCTTTGAATACCTCCAAGTATGTGACTTAAACATGCTCACCGAGAAATAGTTTCCGTTTGTTCACCATGTCGACCATCGAAAAGAGGTTTTGGTTTGCGAGTTATGTCGCAACAACGACCCGTGTCATTTAAACGATATATACTTTTTTTCCTTTTAAGTTTTCAAAAAATAACATTTGCATTGACTTTGCTTTGCTATCTAACCGATATGCGCACTCTGTATTTTAATTAAAAGCCAGCTGCCCGAGATGGGTTCTTTTGTGATTTTAAGTTTTGCTTTATGTATTATTCATTGCTCATGGGATAGACAGTGCTTTAAACACCTGGTTTTATCACTTGACAGTGCTATTATTGACATGTTATTTTTGCCAGCGCTTTCGATCAAGCAGTTTACAGAATTACTTTTCGTTATATTGCATCTTTTTGAGTTACTCGTGTGTGTTTCATATTATTGAATTGTCATATTTATGTCCAAATACATCTTGTGTTCCGTTAAGTTGCTTACGACTCGGCAGTTGGGCTCAAGTTTGGTTACAGTTAACGTTTTCTTAAGCATGGACCGTCTGGTTTTCAACGGAGACTGTTTTGTGGTCAGTGTGGCCTCTTGTACGCATAACATGGTAGCAGTGACCGCATTGGAATTCCACAAATGCTTCTTTGAAATTCCAACAATTCTTCGTCTTGAGTATTGATGTATGTACTTTACTTTTCACTTTTAAACCATGATGTGTTTTCGCTGCCTAAAAGCCATACCAAATCCTTGAGATTTTAGCAGCACAGTACCGTTCAGGTTATTTTTGTAAGAACAAATTAAAAATAAAAACATGTATAGCCAGGTAGTTTTACATGTAAAAAGATATTAAAATCCTCCCTGCTTTAGTTTAAAACTGTGTGATGATTTTTATCAGTAAGTTCATGTAATTACGTGTTATTTATACTTAGTCATGAGATCATGCTTTTGTTGTTCTATTTCTCTTCCCTCCCCTTCCCTTCCCTCCCCTCCACTCCCCTCTCTTCCCCACTCCTCTCCTCCCCTCCCCCCTCTGCCGCTCCCCTCATTTCTTGGGTTAGTCTATTCGTACATGTTTCTACACCCTGTCATATTTAAAGGAATGGTTTCTAAAGCACGAAATGGTTTTGTGACAAATGACACACGAGTAACAAGTGCAACATTCTCGATGCTACAGTTGTGTTTTTGCATTAAACTTCTGCGTTACCAACAGTTACCTGTTACCTGACACGAGTAAAAAGACCAAACACAAAACTGCGGTCGCCAAAAAGAATCTGAACCCCGTGTGGAACCACTCTTTCTGTTATGAAAACCAGACCATCGACGAGCTGAGGAACCGCGTCTTAGAGCTGACCGTGTGGGACTTTGACCGAGGTTCTAGCAACGACTTTCTCGGGGGCTTGCGGTTGGGTTTGGGAAATAACACCGAGCCGTGGGACGATTCACAGGGACTGGAGATACAGGCGTGGCAGATGATGCTTGACAGACCGAACCAGTGGCATGAGCATACACTGAACCTGCGATCGAGTATGGACAGCCAAATAGACTGAGCTTGCTCGCGTGCTGTTTAGACTTTTGTCTCTGCGGTAAGAATGGCGCAGTTTGACTAGAAACTAACCACGGAAAGATGCTCACGTAGTGAACTTTGAAATCTACCAATGAGGACTCATGGTGCTTCGAAATGTTTCTGTTCAGCAAGCAAGAATGTTATTATAGAATATAAAAAAAGCCTGAGTAGGCGGTTGGCAACCACA